CAGCAACTCCCGGCAGCCCAGCTCCAGGTTGAGCTGTTGTTCAGCATCTTAGCTGTGGAGGGCAGTGTCACTGGCCCTCATATGTGGGATCTGAACCGGCGCCCTCTGGCGTCCCAAGCCAGCTCTTAGCCAACGCACCACTCCACCAGCCCTACATTACATTATTCATTAATGTTTTTAACATTGGCTAAGGGATCTTGCAGACATTATTTGTTTTTTGCAGCAACCTTATGAAACAGTGTGGACCTTATTATCATTCCCCTTTTTAGGTTTGGAAACACTGAGATTTAGAGAAATAACTTCTTCAGGGATGCTGACAGAATGAACAAAAGATGGAAGATCATTAAGACGTAGAATCTGGATTCACATACTGTCAAACTTTCTAATTCTGGAGCTCCTGCTCTGCTACTGCACCATGCCACCCTAAAGTCTATAATTGTACATTTTTGAGAATATTGTCCCCAAAATGTCTACTCTTCTCTACAGAGGGCTATGATAACACATGGCCAATGGTCATATATTTAGAGTTGTTTTTTCTGGCACTGAGTTAGCACTCAGCCAATTTTTCCAGCCTGATTCTCTTTAAAACCAATGGTAAATGACTGATGGCCAATTAACTGTGATTAGAGGGCAGTATGTGACCAGGCAACAGGACCATGCTAACTAGAGTATGTGCAGTGGCAAATAATGTATCTAAGAAACAGCTGTTGACAATTAATTAATACACCCACTGACAAATAAAGCACATGTTCACTAGTATGGAAAGGAATTAGGTGACATCATTTTTAGTGGTGGATCTGATGGTAACATTTGGTCTGTCTTGGAAAAAAAATATATATATATATCAGGAGTGCCAAAAAATGTATACACATGACTTGTATTCATCTTTTATTATCAGCATATATTATTATAATTTTAATACAGTTTTTTCCTTTCTTAAAATCTGTGTACATTTTTTTTGGCACCCTCTGAGAGAGGGGGGGGGCATTTATCAGGGCAATTCTGCTCTATTTATTTATTTATTTATTTATTTTTATTAAGTTTATTGTGGTGACATTGGTTAGTAAAATTATATAGGTTTCAAGTGTACTATACTGCATCACCTATATATCACATTGTGTGCTCACCATCCAGAGTCAGTTCTCATTCCATCACCATATATTTGACCCCCTTTACCCTCTTTTACCATCCTCCCTCCCCTTATCCTCTGGTAACCACTAAACTATTGCCTGTGTCTATGAGTTTTTGTTTGCCTTGTTCATTTGTTGCTTTTAGCTTTATATTCCACATATGAGTGAAGCCATATGGTTCTCAACTTTTGCAACAAGATGGATGGATCTTGAGATTATCATGCTAAAAGAAATAAGTCAGACAGAAACTTTATATTTTTGATTGACCAAATATGGAGGATGAAGGTTAAATAACTCTGACATTTTATTATAACATTTATGAATCTGCTTACTGTTCTGTAAATATAATTATTTTATATTTAATTGCAAAATATTTTATGGGGTAAAAATAGTATTCAACAATTTTATTATAATTAATTAATTAAAATTACACAGATATTTAAAATGATGATGTTGATCTGTATGTATTTATATGGAAAGGTATCTATGATATACTGTTAAGTGGTTAAAAAGATTAGGAAACAACAATTAAAGTATGATCTCATTTTTGTAAAAATAAATTCTATATAGTTATGGGAGACATTCTAGAAGAATAATACTGGGAATAATATTTATATCTTTTCTTTGTAATTAATGATTACAGAGTTCCAAGTATGGTATTAAGTGCCTTCACACATTATTTTAATCCTTACAATAACCCCATTAATTCATTTAACATTATTTATTATATAATTAATTATATGTTTATATAGAATTAAATGTTATATAGACATATAATTAATTAATATATCTCTTGTTCCAGGCACTGTGATAAATACTAGAGGTACTGCAGTGAACCAGACAGACACAGTAACCAATGTTTTAACATTATTCTAACTCTACAGATAAAAATTAGATTAACCCACCCATCACGGGCCTTCTAATTCAACTAAACATGCTGAATCACAAGACTTCCATAAGCTATATTTGCCAACAGTCTATTCAGGTGAATATAGCACAAGAACCACAATTTGCCAGAAGATAGCATCAGGCCTTCCTTCCTGTGAGCGTCCATGGAGCAGTTCACACAGTCTTCCAGCAGCAATCATTTTCTGCCCCTTAGACGATGGCTCAGACTCAAGGAGTGAGATCCACCTTGGGTGGGTGCAGGAGACACTCTAACACAAAAATCTCATTTCCTATGTAACAACTCCATACAGTGTCCAGTGTCCCCATAAGAATCACTACCACTGTCAGGTATCAATAGTTCATTATAGTTTCTCCCAGTTCAAAGGAAGTTTTCAAGTCAGGTCATTTCAATCATAAGCTACGCTACCTAGAAATACAGTTAACATTTTACTCCTATTAGATTACCAGGAAAAAAAAACCAGTTGGTGAACCAACAGGTAAAATTCTCATGCAGAAGAAGGGGAAAGGGCTTTGTTAAGTAGCTATACAATAAGCAAGTGGCAGAGTGGATTTGAACTTAAATCTTTTTGACTCCAAAGCCTAGCTTCTGACTTTACTAAATGGTTAAAAAAAAAAAAGTCTCTGGGAGAAAAGCTGTTAGATAACTTTTACTTTCATCTTCATACTTTCTGACTTCTGATTTTCTTTTTTGTAATGAGCATGAATTTCTTTTGTCAGAAAGAAATATTTTCATTAAAAAGACCAGCGACGTGAAAACACGCTTTCACTACGGCACTAAGTGAAAGTAACCTGAAACAAAATGATATATGCACTTGCATTGTGATTAGGATGATGCCAAAAGAAAGATGCAGAGGGGAAGAAGCCAAGGAAAAAATACAAAGCAGTCCTAAAAGTATTTGAGTCAGGATAGTTGGCTTATGAAGGGCTTTTTTTTTTCTCTGCTTTCCAGATTTTTAATGAAATGCTTATGTTATTCTTGGAATAGAACAAAATACGCTTCTTAAAGTGAAAAGGAAATAAATTTAGCTTATAAAATATTTTAAATGTAAAAACCAAGAAAACATCATTCTAAGATAACAGATTTAGTTTTGTATTTCTTTGGATAGGTGAATGTATTTTATATAAAATTTAACTAAGTTAGGAGTTCAGAGTTCTCATATTTTCTCAAAAAACCTGGACATGGAAGATGAGAATGTGGATTAGAGAGCGGTTCTGTTCCATTACTGAAAGTTACCCACGTAACCATAAGAATTTGCCCAGGGCTGCTGCTGTGTCTCTGCCCTGACACTATTTCAGTGCATTAACAGTAACTTCCCTAGGTCTGGGGTCACGCAATAGAGTGGGAATAGTATTGCCAAACTCCTTTCACATGTTACTTATCTATAGTTATTTCAGGATGTAGCTATTTAAGATTTAATTTTCTTTCAAAACTCACGTTTTGGGCTTTGTATGATCCTTCTTTAGCCAAGGACTCATATAATTGGATAGCTGCTGTTATGTTTTGCATGCCAAAATTTCCAAATAACAAAGCATCAGCCATTTTCTCCATAGCTTTCAAGTTCCCCATGTTAGCTGCTTTGGCAAAGAGTATGTAGGCTCTGTTTCAAAAATATGGAATTAGAAGTTTGATTATCAAAAACAAAATTTTCTGCTCCTTCCTTCATACTACTTCTATCTAACAAGTAGGACTCAGCTGTCATTGCTACTAACAATATGGTTTAGCTGAAGTCCATTACATCTCTAGACCAGTAGATTTTTTTTATCTCTAGATTAGCCTAAGATTATTGTTTCAAATATACTGAGGGTGACAAAAAAATGTATACACATTTTAAGAGATGTTAATGCTTTGGTCAGTGTTGCTCAAGCTATAGTTCGCCATAATCAGAAGTGCCTGGACGCTGATGGTAACTGCTTTAAGCACTTCTTGTAATTGCAGAAGTCAAATGTGACTTGTATTCATATTTTGTTATTGGTGTATATTGAGTATTACAATTTTAAGACAGTTTTTTCCTTTCTTAAAATGTGTATACATTATTTTGACACCTTCTGTATATGACAAATAGTGAAGCTGCTAGAAAGGAGAAATATATAGAATACATTAGGTTTCAAGCTTATACACCAAGTGAGGTGACAAATTGAGGCACTTGTCCTAAAATCATGAACTCTCCCAAAGCCACTCTCATTATATGAATATTTGTTTTGTAAAATTAACTCTGAATTATATAACAATATAATCAATATCAATTAAGGATAATCAAAACTGGAATGTCACATCTAGGAAGTTACTATTATGAGAAAAATGGTCCTTTAATATTCTGAAATAATTTTGTAAAACAGAACTTCAGCACATCAAAGCCAAACTGTGTAGAAAAACAATAACCAAACAAAACCTAATGGTTATTAGGGCTCTGGAGTCTGCCTGCATTCAAATCCTGTTTCTACCACTTATTAGTTTGAGAGCTTTAGGCAAATTATTTAACTTCCCTGCACCTCTCTCATGTATGGAATGGGAATAATAATAGCACCTACTTTATAAGGTCGCTGGGAAGATTCAATGAGATAATCCATGTAAGGTGCTTGGCAGAATACCTGGTACAGAGTAAGTACTCAATAAATTTAGCTATTATTATTATTATTATTATTATTATTATTATTATTGTTATCATCATTATTTTTAATGACAAACTAGATTTTGGATTGTTCTTTTTTTCTCAACATGGAACTTTAACTTGGCTTATCTAACTGGATAAAAACTTACTCGGCTTTTTGTGTTTGGGTTTTAGACTGCTGGAGAATCTTGATGCCCATTTTAAATAGCTGGTCTCCTTCATCTGTGAAATTTTTCTTTGCTTGCTTTTTCACTATATATGAACAAACAAAGAAAAGTAACATTATTTTTATGTTTTATATTTTAAAAATCATGTGCTGGCATATTAGTTTGAATTTTGCTCTTCTTATTTTTTAACCTCTACCTTGTTTTTTTTCTAAAAATATTTTTAAATTAAATTTATTGGAGTGACAATGATTAGGAAAACTATATAGGTTTCAAGTATACATTTCTATAATACATCATCTATATATCACATTGTGTGCTCACCATCCAGTGTCAGCTCTCCTTCCATCACCATATATTTGACCCCCTTTTCCCTCTTCTAACATCCCCCCTCCCCCACCTTACCCTCTGGTAACCACTAAACTGTTGTCTGTGTCTGAGTTTTTGTTTTTTTGTTTGTCTTGTAACTTTGTTGCTTTCAGTTTTATATTACCTCAACTTTGATCAGAAGGTAGACACTGCTTACAAAAGTACCCTCTTCCTGTCTTTTGTGAAAGGGTTTGGAGGGTGGAGGAGACAGAAAGATGCTTCTGTTGGTGGGGGGGAAAGAGATGTTCTCAGTCTGGGAAAGGGATGCAAAGTCCTGCAAACAGAGGGTAGAAAGAAAGGCCTTCAAGAGAAGGCCTTGGCTGGTCTGCCTGGTGTACCCTAGTGGCTGG